TTTCTTACTCCTGCTTCATGAGCATAAGGTAAAAAAAAAAAGAGCACTTGGATTACTGATGAATGAATACTGATTTACACTGAACACAGCAAAACAGAAAGCAATCTTCAAGTGACATGTACTGTAAACAATCAAGAGGCCGTATACGACAATTTCCCAGTCTTTCTTCTGAAATCATGAAAAACAGCAGCCTACCTTGAATAAATGGGTTCCTAAGAGTCTAGGTCAAGACTACAACTAACTTGATGGTTCTGTCAGGCAAAAAGTCAAATTCCCTGTCTCCAATTCACCTTGTGTACAGTGTATATTCAAATATAATTAACTCTAAGGGTTTGGTTTTTTTGTTTGTCCAAGTTTTTTTAAACAAACAATTGTAACCCAGTCTCTGGCATTGAAAGTCCTTTGAGAAACAATGATATTATACCAGCAAATAATACTCAGTGCACTTGGGGAGAATTCATAACACTCATCAAGATCTTTAAATGAAAACTGTAAATGAAGCTCTTCAATGAAGAGCGTTCTTCATCCAAGGTGTTAAAAGTTGAAGTATAATACCCCTCTCTTTTCTCTGAAATAAGGCTGCAACATTAAATTATTTGTTAGCTGAAAACTGGCAATGAAGCTGTGGAAACAGAAAGCATCTTATATATTAAAAAGTACAAGAAACTACAAGGAAAAATAGATGGTAACATAAAAAAAATAGAATTTTGGATATCCAACTTTTCATATGACACCTAAACACAGCATTTCCCGGAAGTCCGAGGCATGAGACATTATCCACTTTGGAAAGCATGGTCCTTCTGCTGGTTTCAATCTTCTGAAAATATTTAACTGCTAGCGGTACAACAACAAATGTTTTTCTCCCACTTTACATCACCATATTTTTCAATAGTTTTGGTAGCTAATTCTTTTTAGCAATGTCATACTATAGCATATCCTGCACATACTGAAACATCTGATTTTGGTTACATACAAATTCTTTGCTTTACAAAGCAGTGTGTCCTTGGAGTATGACCATACTTCACCTTGGTAAAGACAGACTACTAAAGCAGGTTTTCAGGCCTTTTTTTCCTCCTGTTTGCAATTACACATTACTCTTCTACATGAAGCTACTCTCCTGTCTTCCAGTAATACTTTTTTTCTAGATAGCCAAATTTCTAATGGTGCTATACCACCACTGCCCTTGCCAGCAAGCTCACAACTATTAGCTAGAATTGGAGCTAACTTGTTACAGCATAATGAGTATTTAACCCTTAGAGGAGAGTTGGGGTGGAGGTAAGGGAGGGAAAACAGGCCAAATTGTCAAACCAGGCAACAAGTCACCAGTTAAACCTCAATTTGAATATATGAAAGTATTTTACAAAATAGCAATAGTTTTAAGTGTACAGCACAGCAAAAGGCAAGAATGAAATGAAGACATAAGGATTCATAACAATCTTTACATGGCTATTTTCCCACTGAGATCAAAAGAAATTCAGTCACCCAAACATTTAAACATCTGTTTGAGACTCTGGTGCTTACTGCACAAGTTCTAGTAAGAACTTGAGTTACTGGTAACCCTTAAAAGAAAAGGAAAAGACAACCTGGAAAAGGCATTCTATCCATTAATAACTGATCTTGCCAAAATAAACTTAAAAACAGCAAACATCACTAATATGAGATAATAATTTAGCATCTTCAAAATGCTTACCATGCTAGAAGTCTATTTTATTTTTTTCTAGGGAATATTCCACATCTGCAATGCACTTATGGTAAGCATGAACCATCCCTCCAACAGCAATCTCAATGTTAAGATGTATTGTAATTAAGACTTTAAAAGTTTAAAGAAAACTTCATTAAAGCTTAAGTTCACACTAATTGTCAACCATTTCCCAACTGGTGCATTACTTATTCCATATCAGCTACTTGCCAAGTATGTTATGCTCTTCAAATTTATGAAGTTGTTCATTTGAAGATCATGCAGTCTGCCAGGAGTAGCAATAACAATATCCACACCTTTGGTAACCACGTTTATCTGCCCTTTTCGGTCCCCACCACCATATATGCAAATACTGAAAAATAAGAAGTTTTACAGAAGCAGTGTATTAAGGTTCAACTGAAGTCAATTTTTTTCAAATAAATGCCACCATGTTGCTTCATATGAAAAAGTATCCTCAAGAAGAAGGAATACAGCAAACGTGACCGACAATATCACAGTAAATAATGGACTTAACACTGAATAATACTCCCTCAACACTTCAGCAACAGCTTTCTGCTGAAATTGCAGTGAAAGTAATCACAAAAGGAAGGAAGAGAGCTATTAAGTTACGAGTATGTTTTGGGTTGTTTTGAAAATATTCACACCAAAACCAGATGAATGTACAAAAGGATATGTGATTTTTCTAAACAGCACCGTCAAAAAGTTTTGCTGTTAAAGCCATCAATGCACTCGATAAAGTATTAGGCTTATAAACAAACTTAACAAGCTCTGTAAAACTCCTTAGTATTTTTGGGAAGGAAGTAGAACGCACATTTCAGTACTTGATAACTACAAGACCAATTCTGAATGCTATACAAAGTTACCAGTGAGCCCTAAAAGTAAATTTTGGAGTACAGTAATGTCTGTTTAACAGCTTAAATGAAGACCTGAACTCTCAGCAGGTTTGCGGATGAAACCAAACTGGGAGAGCAATCCATACGCTAGAGGGTTAGGCCTACTCAGAAGAACCACAAAAAGTTAGAGGAATGGGCTGACAGGAATCCCATGAAGTTTAACAAAAGCAACACTTGGGATGGAATTACCTCATGGCTGAGGGCAAACATGCTAGAAGATGGTTTTGCAGAAAAGACTTGGGTGGGCAAGAAACTGAACATTATTCAGCAATGTAACCCTACAGAAAAGAAAGCCAGCTGTGTAGTATGGAGAAGGCAGCCAGCAGGTTGAGAGAACTCACTACTCCCCTTTATTCACCACTGGTGAGACCACACCTCAAGCACAATACCCAGTTTTTGTACCTCCCACCTTTATTACAAGACAGACATATCCATACTGGAGCAAGTCCAGCAGGCAGCTACCAAGAAGGTCAAGAGAATGGAGTGCATAATGTGAGAAACTGGTAACCAGGCTTGTTCAGCCTGAAGAGGAGAAGGCTCAGGGAGATCTTATTGCTGTCTACAGCTACATAACGGCAAGGTGCCGAGAAGACAAAGCCAGACTCTTCTCAGCTGTCCACACAGAAGGACAAGAAGCAACAGACAAAGCTACAACTATATAAGAAATAGAACCATAGAATCATAGAATTGCTAAGGTTGGAAGGGACCTTTAAGATCATCAAGTCCAACCATTAACCTAACCTGACAAAACCACTTCTAAACCATGTCCCCAAGTACCACATCTACCCCCTTTTCTTTTTTTTTTTAAAAAAAACAAAAAACCAAACATCTCCAGAGATGGCAAATCCACCACTTCTCTGGGCAGCTTATTCCAATGTTTGATAACCCTTTCAGTGAAAATTTTTTTCCTAATATCCAATCTAAACCTCGCCTGGCATAACTTGAACCCATATCCTATCACTTGTCTCCAGGGCGAAGAGGTCAGCCCCCACCTCTCTACAACCTCCTTTCAGGTAGTTGTAGAGAGTGATACGGTCTCTTCTCAGCCTCCTCTTCTCCAGGCTAAACAACCCCAGTACCCTCAGTCATTCCTCCTAAGACTTGTCCTCCAGACCCCTCACTAGCTTCATTGCCCTTCTCTGGACACGCTCCAACACTTTCATGTCCTTCTTGTAGTGAGGGGCCCAAAACTGAACACAGTACTCGAGGTGGGGCCTCATCAGTGCTGAGTACAGGGGATGATCACTTCCCTAGTCCTGCTCACACTATTCCTGATATTTTCACCATGACAGTAGTCAAAACAGGTCTTCTAAAAAGCGGGAAAATACTAACTCTGCATTTACTACCTTCCCCTCCTTTCTTAGCAAATGCAATTATTTCAGTGAGTGAATTAAACCACAAGTGGTAGGAAAAAAAATTACTTAAGCAGCAAGTGAGAAGTCAGATTACCTTTTAATTCCTTTGTATGTGTACTTCAAACACTCTGCCTCTACTTGAAGTGCCAATTCTCGAGTGGGAGCAAGGACTAACATTCCTGGCCCCCCACGCTCATCTTTGGATCTGCAATAAAGCATCTTTAGACTGCAGGTACATAAGGCTAGGCAAAGTCTATCACATCTGACACTGAATATTTTTATACTGTTCTGTAAGTTTGGTACTTATTCTACCAAGGTTATAGTTTTTTTTTTTTTTGCAATTTATCATTTTTTATCTTCTTTACTAGAAAATCATCACATGGAGGGTGGGGGGAAGTATTCACAGCTAAACAAGTCAGACATGTGAGCAGTCCTTACATTGGTTGTGAAGTCAAGTGAATGAATCCAGGCATTACGTATGCTAATGTCTTCCCAGTACCAGTCTGTGCTATACCAATAAGATCAATTCCTTGGAGTATGATTGGCCATGCCTGGGACTAACATAAAACAACAAATACTTAAATGTACTTTTCTCTTAAACTTCAGTTAAAGAGTCATCAAAATTTAAGAAGTACCTGAATTGGTGTAGGCTTCTGAAAACCAACTTTTCTTATATTAGCCATAATATCAGGATAATGCTCAAATACATCTTCAAATTTACAAACAGGATTGGGAATGCAGCGCTTTTCACCTTCTTTTAAGTCATCACAAATTATATTATTATTTTCTTTCCTGTAGAGAATTGAAGAAGTGCAACTGATTTAAAGTCGCATTATCTAAGAAGGTAAAGCTAACACAAAAGACTGCCCTCCTGGTTTTTTTTGTTTGTTTGGGTTTTTGTTTGAGTTTTTTTTTAAATTCCTGGAACAACAGAAAACAAGTTCAGGCTCTTCAATGAGACAATGAGACTTATAACCATTCTTCTTTTAAGAACGCTTTACTACAGAACCAATTCTCCTGGCGGCATCAATTACCATTCTTTCTTAAGAAAGACTAATTTGAAGTTATAGATGCAGTTAACACAAACTGCAGTCCTGTCATATCAGGCTTCAACTATACTCTATTACAAATTAAATAACTGTGACAAGTTTTTAAACCTAAAGACAACCTAGAACTCATAGGAATGGATTGGACTTTTTTGCCAGAACCCTATATTCTGACAAAAGTCTTCCTGAAATATTTTCAGAGCAGCTCTAGAAAATACAAACAGAACAGTTTAGAAAAAAAAGAATGTGGTCAGTAAGACAAGCTCAAAAAACCTCAAACAACCACAAAACAAAGAACTTCCCAAAACAAACAAAACCCAAGGCACAACGCACACAAAAAGAAACATTAAAAACTGAGGTTCTACAGCTTCCCCCATTTAAGAGGTATTAATATGCATAAATAGTTCATCTTCATTCCAGTCGCCTTTCAGAAAGTAGTCAAAAGGCATTCATTAAATGAGGAGCAGAAATTCCTTATTGATGCAATTAGAGGAACTCAAATGTGCAGCAGCAAAAGCAAGACCACTTCCTGCACGCATTTGTTTCAGTGCTCATTAGAAATTCTCTTTTCAGGACTGTCAAAGACATTAATGTAGCTGAGGAAACCGTTAAATCTGTCATTTTCTTCTATTTCTTTTTATTTGCTGGGCTGAGCTTGTTAGTTCATTAGAACTACTGAAAAGGGATGACATGAACAGTGATGCAGATTGCTGGATCCAAATGAACAGATACAGTTAACTGAGGCATGCACTCACCACGATGTACTTGTAAAGACAAGATATACAGACAGATAGGAAGACAACAGTAACAGATGTTGAAATTTGATTTGAAGATGTTATTTGACCAAAATATATGGGGGGGCAGGGAAGGGCAGCCAAGAGGTATTCAACACATGAACAACAATATTTGGAAGGACCTAGAAGACATGAAGGTGCTGTCTCATGAAATGCAAAAAAACAACCAAAAGCCAATGAGAATTGTCTTGATTTTTTTCTCTTCCAAAAGTCAACTAGATCAAACACTTTTAGAGAAGCAGTTAATCCATAAAGTTAATTTTCCAAGTAACTAATAACACCCCACCTGCTAGTTATTGTTTAATTCCTATGAAAGAGTTCCTAAGACCTAAGTTATTACAAGACCCTAACATGAATGCTCTGTCTCAGTATTTCATCCCACTTTCTGGTCTTTATAACTTAATTGTTATTTTTGCCAAGCAGATGATTCCCTATATAAATGATCTTACCGCCACAGTTCCACTTCTTCTTGTGACATAGACGCAGTCCTTGACGATTCTTTATAGAAGTTTTTCTCAATTGGAGGCAAGTCTTAAACAATTAGAAAAAGTAAACTTGAGACAGTAAGAAATGCTACAGATTCAGGGTAAGTCTGCTAAAGCTAAAGATGGAAATCCCAAAACCCAGACAGTATCTTGTACTAGCAAACTAGTCAAAAGCAGCCAAAGACTATTGTTGTTCATGTAAAAGATGAAGGCTGAGAAATACACTTAAATATCTGCAAAAGAACCACTTCCCCACACTTCAACAGTAATTTCTACTAACATATATACTGCAATATTTAGCAATTACCAGATTTTTGCTGTGGCCACATACAAAACAACAGTATTTTCAAAGGATGAAGTCAAAATACCAACTGAGTAGCAAGTTTAAGTCTTCACACAGCAACTACAGTGTCCTCCATGACCACGCTGAGAAATGCTGCCACATTCACTTCACTGCAAATACTTAACTAATTTGGACACTGAAAGATTCAGTCATCTCAAAGCAAAGACTAAAAATGTTTAAGCATTCAACAAATTTATCATACGAAGACAAGTACCATACAATCAACATTTTAGAACTAACCTGCCCATTTCATAGCTTCATATTTAGCTTTGTTTTCTCGAAGAGCGGCCCAGTTAATCACTGATTTCGTTGGGTTATTTCCAGGCTTGATATTGTCCAAGGTTTTTCCTGTGGAGTTAGTACCGAAATGCTGCTGTTTGATGGAATCTGTTGGAGGGTGGGGGGTTCTCCCCAAACAAACACCTTATTTTCTTTTTCTATTCTAAGGGCCTCCTATGTGAATTTGAATAGACATGAAGCATTTAAATAGAAAATTTTTTCCTAGGTCTTAGCCTGAAACATCGGTAAAACCCATACAAATCCAGTCCTGATAAAAAAAGAAGCATTTCAACATCTTTAGCTACTTAAAGAAAGAAATGACAGGTTCTGAAATGCTGCTCCTCCAGCTATAACTAAGGCTTGCTGTGCAGCAGGCTTTTAAAAAACTTGTGAACCGAGCAGACGTTTTGCAGAGAGAAAGCTTTGATTTTAACAGCTACAAGAGCAAGGTTTACTTCGAAACCATCCAACATCACCACAATAAAGTCCCAATGTAGTTACATTCTACACCCTTTTTTTGATGAGGTTAACACTTCTTCAGAAAGAAAGGTTTTACACTGAAGATATAAATGGCAACACAATTATATACTAGTGGAAAAGCAGGAAACACGGCAAAAACACAATCACACATACTAAGGAAGTGTTAACTATTTCTAGCCTCTTGAAATACATGCATCCACCTTCTGGGGCACTTCTAAAATCAACACAACTACTCCATTCCTTATTCTAACGCTGGAACACAACTCTCTGATCCCTTCTTCCTCAACAGTGCCTCAGATCAACAACTATGGATGTTGTTTGCTTGTGCAAAAAGTCAATGGGTGCACATACAAGACAAATACCAATAACTGATGGCATCTCAACATACAACCATTACTTACATATCCACGTAGCAAAGTGAACACAATAAACCCTAGTAAAGCGAGGCACAATGTGCAACATCAAACCTTAAATGCTAACTTCCCATGAAAGTAGTAAGAAGTCAGCATCGCCCATGCTATAATCAGTACATGTTTATTTTATAGACTACATTTATAAAAGCTTATTAAATTTCAATACTGCAGAGATACTACATTAGAACTTAAACTAGAACCAATACTCGTATTTTGGGGGAATCAGACTGATAACGCAAGAAACCAAGTACTATAACATTCTGCACTCATCAAAATTGTTGAAAACATTCAGGAACAGATTTTCAAAGAAGTCTGACAGTTTGAGGGAAGAAAACTGTTCACAGCTGAGAAAGGAGGATGTCTAGATATTTCTGTTTCAAGGAGCTATGCCACTGTCCAAGAACAAGGTGAAAGTTAACTCACTTCGATAAAATGCTAATAATATAAAAACACTACAGCAAACTACCAAATATAGGCATGGTTTGTTTTTTTTTTTTTTTTTCTTTCCCCCAGAAACACATTTCTTACCTTTCTCAGTCCCACTTTTAATGCAGTTTTGTTCAGATCTTGTAACAGCATCGTCAATCAACATCTTGGCTTTGTTTTGCACTGCAATGCTGCCAAAAATCTTTACTTCAGCTTCAGAGGTTCCCTTTATAACCTATGTTCATAAAACCTTACTGAGTTTTGTTAATACTGCAAAGACAAACATTACGTAAGAATACATACTGAAAACTATCTTTGATTTTTTTCCTGAATTTTAACTTCTCTTTCCGGAAAAAGGCCCTTTAACTCCCTTTCTAAAAGAAAGGGAAATAAATACATACTTAAGGAAAAAAACCCAGAACCACCCAACAGTAAGCTTTTCCTGCTTTCACACACCAGTCAAGTTGCACCCTCAATTCTAATTCCTTTTTACCAATTCTTGTAAAAGAGTAGAATTATTACAGGTATTGCAACACCCTTCAACTTGCTGCAGTAACTCTGGTTTACAGGGAAGCAAAACCAACTACGTTCCAAACAGAGTCCAGGCCTAGATGACACACAGCACATGGTACCTTTATCCTGGAACCCGAAGAATCCTCAAGTTCTCTTATTTTAGTTCCACCCCGACCTGTTATAAAGACACACAGCTGGTATTACAAAGATTTAGGCCAAACCGTTCAAAATTACATATGGTAACTTAAGTATTTTGGTTGTAACCAAAACTGAAGACCTTCATATAAGCGCATGCATCCATAAATAAAAGAACTTGTGACACCAAACTGTTGGAAAATGCAGGTAACTTTTTTGGCAATTAACCAAACGCAAAGTGCATGTGAGGGGGGAAGGCACCTCAGCTGAAGAGGTGGAGCAGCAAAACCAGCTCAAGAGAGTGCCACCCTTCCTCCGCAGGACTAGAAAGGGGCTTCAGCCCACTTCCAGACTGCCAGCCATGAGAAGCAGACACCAACCCAACCACTTTAGGGAGGAAAAGCTCAGCCACCCTGGCAAGCGGGAGAGCTCCGCTCTTCAGCCAGTACCCTGCAAAAGCATCCTGCCACCCCCAGTCGAGAGAGATGCGGGGGGATCACAAGGCGCTGAGGCCCTTCCACGGAAGGTAGCGATGCACCTCCTTGGGGCACAGAGGGAGGGCCAGGGGCCCACATGAACAAACCTCCCCGCAGCCAGGTCCTCTCCTCCTCCCCCACCCGCTTCCCTCAGCGAGCCAGGCACCCCCGCGGGTGGGGGTGCAGCCG